AATAGGTATTCCGCATGATGGAATAGACCATAACCAACATAGACCATGGTAGAAAGACATAAAAATCCAAAGATCTCTTCTACTCCAAAGAGGTTGTTCAACTTGCCAATGGTAAAACATAAACACATGCCATGTAGGCACATGCTTAAGGAATTTGAAGGGCATGCTTTGTAATATACTCTTACTCTTTAACTACAAGTAATTTCCTTACCGTACTCACTCGGTACTAGCCTTTGTTCTCATAGAGTAATTAATATATAAGGTTCACACAAAAGGGTTCCATAACAAGTTCATTACCCAATTACATTAACCTATAAAGAATGTTCCCCTAGGGCTACCTCACAATGGTGACATGAAGATCATGATTACATTCTTAAGGATTAATACGATGTCATTCCAGCAAATTAAAGTCTTTCTTTACTTTCAAGGATACCATTACTGCTTAGAACTTCATCATTCACAACCTTACCACTAGGTTCAAATTTTCACATAAATGACCTTATTAACATCATTTAAGGTGACATGTCATTAATAAATTAATTACTAAGAAACTTTAGCATCCTAAGTCAATACATCACATATTGATAATCATACATACATTAAGTAAATGAGACAATTCAACCAAGACAACGTACAACATACTTCACTTTAACTCATAATACATGTCATTCTAAAAACACATAAACATAACCATATCACTTTCAAGTAATCTTATCCACTATCATACTATCAACAGTGTGACCAATACAAACTCATATAGTCAATTATGAATTACCAAGGATCAACCCTAAGACTATACATATAAGCCACATTAAAGTCTAACATGATCCCCTACAGAAAATCAATAAAACACATATACATCCATATTACTTAACATGTTGATAGATTTCATCATACATCACATAATCAAATACAGGATTAATCACATTACTTCAAGTATTTCCCACAAGGCCATGATAATCCTATTCCATAAAGTAACTCCGACAAGGCCACGACAATTACAAGTAAAACACATAACATTGCCACCATAAGTGGACCATACCAATCAAATCATAGTTTAAGTATAAACAACAACAAAATAAAGGAAATAGACAAGCCTACCACCACTAAATCCTTAAAACCTCAATTCGATGCTAAATCATCCAATTCAATCATCCATGAACATAAGTTCAACATAAAGAATATAATTATCTATGAATTAGGTTAATTTAATGTAAATTAATCAATCTAATACAATCCAGAATTCAATTTACTACTATTATTACATAAACAAATAGACCACATAAAACTACAAAAGAATTCATACACATTAGAACATTATCAAGTTCCCCACAACTTAGTTAAAAACTAGAGTTCATCAACTTTATGGGTTCATAGGTAATCGAGGTAAAAATAATCAATACAATAACAATTTTATACATAATAAATGTTTAAAAACAATTGATGAATGAACCCATGGTAGAATCATGAAAATGGACAATTCAACTTTGAAAACTTTAGAAAACACCTTGAGAATTAGGATACTTGATGAAGAGTGTCTGAAGCATCAAAATACATACCTTGATGAAGCTAATACTTCACCTTTATTAAGAATTTCCACTAAATTCATCACATAAAGCTCTTCTTTGACTTTAGACTTCAATGGAGTCTTGGGAAATTTCTAAGAGATTTGGGGTTTTGATTTGTTAGAATGAAATCTTAAATGTGTTAAAGACTTACATACACACTTAAAACACCATAAATACCCCTAAAAAAGGGGAAATACTCTTATTTGTAAGTGCGGTGAAATTATCATTTTACCTCTCACTTAACGGTGATGCTGCATGTAAGGACCAACAGACCGTCCTGTTTATCCGTTGTCTGGGATATAGGCTGGTTGTTGACCTTCTCTATCCCATGTCTATGTCTCAATCAATTACACCCTACCAACGGGTCGTCGACTGAACCACCCGGCGTCGATTGCAAACCGTTGGTTGGTAGTCTTTGACTGCCTTTGGATCAATTTTGTGTCCTTCCGCAAGGACACTTGGATGGTCCTTGGGGATGTATTCCCGGACGTTTCCAACCCAAATATGACATTATACGAGTTTTTAACACCAATGACATGAATTTTATCTAAAACAAACACGTAAAACCCGACGAATGATGCCCTGACTCAAAAGGTTATTTGAAGGAAACACTTTAGAACGTCACTGACGTTCTGGGACGTTTGACCTCCAAACTTCATAAAACTCGACATACTTCCTACCCATCCTATTATAACTCATTTAAGTACCTTAAAACTTCAATAATCACATATAAACCCATAGAACCACATATTATCGACATTGTTGGCATAGTCGTTGAACGTCTTGGTCGTCCTTTGACTTTTCTTTATCAAATAAACTGAACTCTTCGACACTGCCTCATTATCACATCATATACCTATTTAGGAGCTTTAAAAATCACAACGAACATGCTAGGATATAACCTAAGTCATTTTTGAGATCATACAATAAGGTGAATAACTTTTTGGCACTACTAGGAAAGTCAAAAGTAGCTCTTTTGACCAATTTACTGTATTTATGACAGGCATTCCAAACCATTGTATTGTTGAGAGTCATGGAAAAATTACTTATACAAGGTGAATGATGACAACAACAAAGCAGTACTCGATACTATTATGGGTGGCTCCAATGGGGAATGTATCTATGCTGAGATTCAAGATAAGTTGGAGAAGATATCTCTCTACAACAAGGCTTGGAGAACTAGAATGTCAAAGAATAGGATAAACACCTTTTCTCTACTAGCTACAAACAACCCAACAAAAAGATAAGATTCATGAAGAGTTCGCACTCATAATACCGGAGCTTCGGTTGGTCTTGAAACATGTAAGCCGAGGTGTAGAGAAGTTTAATGCGACAAAATATTTGACTAATAAAACACCTCCAGTAGATGATTTCTATTATGATGAGGATGCCTATGTAGTGAATAATTAGACGGTGGTTTCCGATCTAACCCCCAAAGCTCCAATTAAGAAAATGTGTCAAGGTCAAGATAAACAAGGTCAAAACTATGGTAACTACAACTGACAGAGTCAATATATCCGATATGGGAACTACAACCAGCGAAAAAAAACTTCAACCATAAAAATATGGTAACATGAATGATAGAAGTGGGCTATATGTTCCCCCACAAAATAAGGAAATTGCTCCAATGGATAGTGGAAGTAGTGTGGCGCGAAATAACGATATGCAGTAGAAGATGATGAGGACATTCGATGTGAGATATCATAATGTCAATGATATGAGAGGTGACATATATAAAATTAGACAAAAGGTAAATATACATGCGGTCTCGATAAAAGATCTTGAGCTACAGATGGCTGAGTTGTATATTAGAGGATACTCATAAAGTGGTCGACATACTTAGACCTTCACTACATTTCCCTTAGAGATTAGGGAAGAAGATAGAAGATGGTAAATACCGATGATTTATCACTATCATTAAATAACTTTTCATCAATGTCCCTTAGAAAGAAGCTTTGGTACATATGCTCGGTTATGCTATGTTTATGAAGGACATGATTATGATGAAGAGACATGTGAGCTTTAAACATGATTATAGAATGCAACGTTGTAGTGTTATATCTACAAGATTTCTTGTGCAGAAGAATGAACATACTCGCGCCTTAACTATTTCATATAGGATGGGGTTGCTACACATTGCTAAGGAACTATCTGATCTTTGGTGAGAGTATAAGTCCCGTTTCTCTATCCATTAATAAGAAGTTAGGCTTGGGTGAACCAAAGCCTACTATGATGCGGTTTCTTATAGGCGATTGAACTGTGAAGAGGCCCATCGCTATACTCCGTAATATGCTTTTCAAAGCGGAGTCATTCATATTTCAGAACAATTTTGTGATTATTGACATTGAAGTTGCCTTTGACTTCCCCATTATTCTAGGAAGACCATTACTTGCAAGTGGGCATGCATTAGTAGACATGGAAAACGGGCTGATGAAATTTAGGTTGAACAATGAATAATCAATATTCAATATATGTAGGTCCGTGAAGTAGATTCAAATGGAATCTACTATATCCTATACTTTTTAGAGTGTATCTAAGGTACAAATTGAAGAGAGACTAGGTGTGAAGGCACTAGCGGCAATTATCATGAACTTTAACGCTGATGGTATCGAATAGATGGGTTTTTTGTGGCTTTACTTGAACGAAATGAATATCGGTCAAAGTTGAAAAAATTGGAGTTGGATAAGAAACATTGCGAGGCTCCACCTACAAAACAATCTATTTAAAAGGCACCAAAATTAGTCCATAGGTTTGTACCACCTCATCATAGGTATATGTTGTTTGGTAGAGGTAACACTTTGATGGTGAAAATTGAAGAAAATTTAAATTGACAACAATTCAAGTGCTTAGTTGCAGTATTGAAGAGGTGCAAAGAAGGCATTTGTTGGACAATTCACGACATCATTGGGATTCCCACCGATATTTGTTCCCGCGAAATACAACTCATGCCCGATCAGAAACAAAGTATTTATCATTAATGAAAGTTTAATACACCTATTCAAGATCTACTGAAAGAGGATATCGTCAAGCTGTTTGATGTTAGGGTTATCTATCTTATTACGAACAACAGTTGGGTGTGTCCTAGTCAGTACATGCCTAAAAAGGGTGGGATGACAATAGTACCTATTTAGAGGAACGAGCTTGTTCCCAAAAGGGACAATGATTGGATGAAGAGTTTGCATGAACAACTGGAAGTTGAATGCGTGGACAAAAAAGGACAATTTTTCCATGCTCTTCATGGATCAGACTCTAGAAAGACTCATTGGCAAAGGTTTGTACTGCTTTCTTCATGGGTATTCGGTCTACAATTAGATTTCTATCGCTCCATAAGATCAATTCAAGACAACCATCACTTTTTATTACAGGACCTCAGCATTAAAAAAGATGTCATTAGGGTTATGTCATGTATCGGCGACCTTCCAGCGTTTTATGATGTCGATATTCACTGATAAGGTGGAGGTCACTATTGAAGTGTTCATGGAGGATTTTTCTCTCATTGAAAATTCTTTTGATGTGTGTTTGATTAATTTCGTTGAGGAACTCAAAAGATATGAGTATTTAAATGTTGTGCTAAATTGGGAGAAATGTAACTTTATGGTGAAAGAAGGCATCGTGTTGGACCATCGCATCTCCAAGAAATTTATAGAGGTTTATCGAGCAAAATTTGAAGTAATTGAGAGGCTTCCTCCACCAAACTTTGTCAAGGGTGTGAGAAGTTTTCTTGGGGATGTTTGTTTTTATAGAAGGTGTAATAAGGATTTTTAAAAAATTACACATCCATTGTGGAAACTTGTTGAGAAAGAATGTAAGTTCTATTTCGATGAATCCTTTTTGAAGACATTTGGAGAGTTGAAAGAGAAGTTAGTATCTGCAACCATCAGTATTTCACCAAATTGGAGTGAGCCTTTTGAACTGATGTGTGATTCAAGTGGTGTTGCACTTGGTGTGTTATTGGGATAGAGAAGGGATAAAATCCTTCACCACATCTACTATGCCGTAAAGACCTGAACGACGCATAAAAGAACTACACGTTAACTGAAGAAGAACTTGTTGCAGTAATATTTGTATTCGAGAAATTTCACTCCTATTATCATTGAATGATGGTCATAATGCATAACGACCATTCTACCTTGCGTATCTAGTTCGCGAGAAAGAATGCTAAGCCAAGGCTTATAAGATGGGTACTATTGCTGCGATAACATGATTTTGAGATTAAAGATATAAAGGGGAATGATAATAAAGTTCCCAACCTTTTGTTAGATTTTACGATGAACCTATGTGTTAATTGGGAGAAAAGGATGAAATTGATTATGAATTACCATATGAACATTCATTGGTCGCGTCTCAGGATTTAATGTAGTTGTTCGCAAACATTCTGAATTATCTCGCTAGTGATGTAGTTCAGTAAGACTTGACCTTCCAGCAAAATGTTCATGCATGATGGGAATTAGTTCTTCTTGGATGAGCCTTACTTATACCGGAGTTGTTTTGATGGGATTATTTAGTCATTGTGTACCTCAGGTTAAGATGCTGAGTGTTTTTGATGCATGTCACTCCTCTCCTGTGGGTGGGCACAATAGTTGTATCCGGAATGCACATATGATATTACATTGTGGGTATTACTAGACAACCATTCACATAAATGTTCACGATTTTTCCTTATCAATTGATCAGTGCCAACGAGATGGAGAAATTTTGAAATGAAAAAAACTACCCTTGAATCCTATTATTGTGATTGATCTATGTGATGTATGGGGAATTGACTTTATAGGGCCATTTGTGAGTTCTCATTGGATGAAGTACATTCTGGTGGCGGTGTACGATTTCTCGAAATGGGTAGAAGAAGTTGTGCATTCTAAGAATGAAAGAAAATGTGTCACCGCATTCTTGAAAATGAATATCTTCTCCTTATTTGTCCACCTAGGGACATTATTACTGATGGTGGGTCTCGCTTGTGTAAAAAAAATTTCAAAGGGCTACTAGAGAAATATGGTGTTTTCCATGATGTTGATAGTCCTTACCATCCAACGACTTGCGGGCAAGTTGAGGTGTCCAATCATGAGATGAAGCAAATTCTGGCAAAAACGGTGAATGCTTATAGAACGGATTGGTCAAGTAGGCTACATGATGATCTTCAAGACTACGACACTAGTATATGGAAAGGTTTGACACTTGCTAATCGAGCTAGAGCACAAGGCGATATTGGCAATGAAAAAATAGAAGTTTGATTGGACTAAAGCGGCAGAAAAAAAACTAATTAGGTGGAATGACATTGATGACATTCTCCTAAAGGCCTACAAAAGTTCATCAATCTACACATAGAAGATGAAGAATTATCACGACCAAAGGATTGAAAGGCGAAAATTTGTAGTAGGTGATTTTGTGCTTCTATTCAACTCTAGGATATGCTTGTTTGCAGTAAATTTGACGTCCAAGTGGACAGGTACATTCCTTATCACTAATGTATTCCCACAAGGATTGGATGAGTTGGAGAATAAGGAAGGTGAAAAGTTCACCGTTAATGGGCAAGGAATAAAGATCAATATGGGCCATGCGAAGAGTGTGCATGAAGTTATTGAGGCCTATATTCTTGATGAAGTCTGATTAGTCAGGGCCCTGTGTCGTGCCGCAATGTTAAATCAAGTGATTCTTGGAATTCAATTGAAGGTGTACCCTCTAGCCAACGATAGGTTTTTATTTTCCTTGTAGAAATAGTCATAGTTTTTATCCCTTTTCTTTTCATCATTTCATTGATTTTTATGCGTTAATATTCTCTAGAGACTAGAATAGGGTCCATTTTACAAAATATTCCAGCGAAAAACAAAAAGAATGGCCTAATTGGTGTAACATGTGCAGAAGGCAAAAGATAAAATCTTTTTTAGAAAAATGGTCTTGTGCAGAAGTCGACGGACCGTGGATTGTGTGTGTAGATCCTCGGTATATTCCCAATTTGTCCTATGTCTTGAATTGATCGACAGTCCAATAGATGAACAATCGACAAGGTCTCCTAGGTTAAAACATGCTAGTGACCCGACCCGACCAGGATAGTAATATTCAATGACATAATTTTTCAAATTCACTCCCTCTTCCATTTTCATTAAAGTTTGGTTACATAATTAATTATTTTCTTTATTTCCTTCCTATTTCATTCATAATCAATCTCTTCAAAACTCAAATCACCCCATAGGCGTATCTAACATCGTCGTCCTCTTAGAGGACTTAGAATAGTCTCTTAGCTTACATCATTATATTCATAGGTCAAAATGCAGAAAATTCAAAACATTTCATTACATCTACTTTGAGGCTTACATAGACCTCTACATACCCATAATATTCATATATGGTCTACATAGACACTTCATACAGTAAGATTACATAGTCTTCTACTTTTATTTCACATAGATATAAAAAATATAACATAGTCTAAAATGGATGTCTCATATCATAAACATCCAACAATAGTATAACAATTTGGGCCTAGCCCATACATAAATGTAATACAACCGCATATAGGCTATACAATGTTTAGTATCCAAATAAAGACGAAAGAACATAAGACTTTTAAAAACTAGAACAACTTTATAAACTTGATAGTGGCATTACCCTCAAAAAGAAAGGACCTACCAAAATCGGAAGATTGAGAGTTCCAGGTCTTCTTCCAAGTCGTCTCAAAGTGCTTTCAACAACTAGAAGCTAATTTTTTAGGAAAAAGGGAGAAAATAGGGTTATTACAGCACTTGTACTAAGTATGAAACCATATATACACATATCATGAAATAATGCTAAAAAGACCATTTCATTAAAATATGCTATTTCACCTTTAAAAAGCCTTATGCACATTCAAGACGGTCATACAATTCAATAAAACATATTCATTAATTCTAAGGCATGTGTCTCATAAGAGAAACAAATAATGATTCTAATCAAGTCAACATGTATATAACATAATTGAACACATAGTAAAAGCAACTCTATCAAAAGTTATATTAGCAACAACAATTAATTAGAGTTCATCACAACATACGAAAAGTAAGAGATTATCCAGGAACCTCTATTAAGTTAACAAGTAAAATGAGTAAGAAAAGCCCCATAAGTTTTCTCAATCAAGTAACTCAAGAAGACCCATAACCAATGTCAAACTTAACATATTATGTCATTAAAAGTACATATCATCATACTTAATAAATAGAGAACAACACATGTTCATAAGTTAAACCAATAATCATGTAGAATAATCTATGTGCAACATTATCATGTACAAAATACGTACAATAATAAGCATATTCATATATAAGAACCTTCTAAAACTTCCTTCAAGGCAAACTAGTTAAAGGTATAGGTAGAGTCACATACCCTTTCCTAAGCAATGTCAAACCTCTTAAGTCACCTTAGTTTGTTTGAACTTAATTACTTCATTTTAGTTTAAGGAACACGTGCCTTAACCAACATAGACCACCAGAGAAAAATGTGGAATCCGATGTTGTAAAACCTTACACAGATGAAAGGTTGTCTACCGGCCAAAGTAAAACCAAACATTAATGTAGCTTTCTACGTGGATTCACTAGCTAGTCTTCCTATGGGGCAATATAGTTCAAGAACTAACAGATAGGTATGAACACTCTACATTAAACTTGGTAATTTGAGCCTCATCTCATGGGAATCCATACGATGAGTATCCCGCATAGGGGAGTCAATACCTCATGTTAAACTATTGGGTGAATCTTCCTCTACGGAAAGTCAACACCTCCCATTCTCAAGTTCACTAGGTGCTAAGCAAAGATCCTTTTGAAATGCCTTTAATCTGTTAAATAATACTTATTTTTTAATGTAGGTCATAGGGTCTATAACTTGTATAATCTACACCATCATTATAGACCAATAATAATTGTATGAGGATACCTTTCATTACAAATCAATATAGATGAGGTTAGAAAATTTACATAATCATATCCTGATAACGAACATTCTTAAGTTATCACAATCATTATAGCAATTACATCTTAGCCAACACCACAAAAATAAAAGTCTAGATATTTAAATTCAATATTATACCAATGATATCAATCGTAATACAAGGTATACTTTATCATCACTTATATCATAATTAACCACAATTGAAGTAAAGTCTAGGGATCACAAGACTTAAAATCTCTCCATCATAATACATAATCAAGGTCTTACCATCAACCTTTCACTAGGGTGTAATATAAACATACAACAATAACCAATTATAATAACAAAATCAATTGAAACAATACATCACAATCCACCACTTACTCATAGCTTATTACAAGAGACTTAGGTAAAAGTCATAATCATGATCAATTATTCAAGAACTATAATGATACGACTATAATCCATCCAAATATATTCATAACTATCATAATTACATGATATAGTAGTAATTAAACCAGTAACAAATTCAATTGAACCAACATTACAAATTTATATCAAGAAAACAATCTAAGGTTAAGGGGAATAGGTCACTTTCTACAAACTAAACCAATCCATCAAGAAATAACAAAATTGAGTTATAATAAATGTACATTTATCCATAATATCAAAAATATATCATAAACTAAACAATTTGAAAGATCAATTACGACATTGGAAAATATCTACTTGAAATTTATACTTTTGAAATCAATTTGATAAAACCCTTTGGAGAAAAAAGTCTCAAAGGTGAAAGGAATACCATACGTTATTGTTTGATGAAGACTGATGAAGAAATCTTGGTGATTGCAGCCCTAAAGAGAATGAGTCAATAAGCCTGCTAAGATCTAATTCCTTCAACTCGATCAATTCTTGATCAAGGTGTTGTTTGGACTTTACCTCAGCCACAAATGATGCCTCGGAGTTACTATGGACCATGAAACCACCATTCGATGAATCTTCCAACCTAACACCAAATCTGGATAACCTATTGAAATCATTCCATAGGACATTCTTGGCTTACTATA